GGGAGGGAGGGAGGGAGGGAGGAGGAGGCCGAAACAGGATTACTTAGCAGTCGGCCCAGAGGAGGATAAGGCCGGAATTTCAAACAATATCAGGAGCACTTTGAATTGACGACCCCAGGAAAAGGCTTTGCCTTCGCGGTGATAGAGGTGAAGCGACGCGAAGAAGCCCCCTGCTTTTAAAAGCCCCTCTCTCTCCGGCCGTCCCTTTCCCCCCACTCCATCTGAAATGGCCCCCCGAGAGGGCGACGGGCGACGACAACACAAAGCTTGAGTGTGAGACAGTCTGCGGACGTCTGCGGAAGCCTTTTCTAATAAAGTAATTATTCTTTTGATGGAATGTGTTTGTGATTGACGAATGTGTGGGGCATATACACCGAATAAAAGTGCATCCAGAAAAATAAAAAGCTGCAACTATACTTTTTACCACGGCCACTGAACTATAAACCATACTGCAACGTAGTTGTAATAGTTTTTTTTCAGCGCGTACAAAACAACCAGGCGTTACGAGATCCCGAAATTGGACCGCTTGAAAAGGGCCAAATTGCGACGGTCAGGCAGCGCAGCCACTGTCGATTGTCGCGTGCATTTGAGAGCAGCGGCCGGACACAGAACCCTTCCCGCACCCCGTACAATGTAGAGCCGAAACCTCCAGCCTCCGATTGAACGAACAAACGACTAAAAACTCAAGTTAAACGCACGTGAACAATAAAATAAACTGTTAAACTGTATTGTAAATTGTAGGATTAACGACACCGGAAGGGTGCTTCAGAAGTACAATGTTAGCAATAATATTGGCTGTAATTTTTTTACGGTGTATATAACATGCAGGACGACGCTGGCTGGACTGGACTCGATTCCATCCGATTCGTCTCGGAGAGAGGGAGAGATGAGAGAGAGAGAGAGAGGCAATGCATCTCGTGAAGTATGTGGGGCGGAGCAACATCATGGAGAGAGAGAGGGCGATAGGAAGAGGAGGAAGAGGAGAGAAGAAACAAAGAGGAGCGGAGAGTCGAGGCCACAGCAGTGCATTGTGGCTTCTCGCTCGGCGGGGAACCAAATTAATGAAAATCAAGTTAAAATAATGAAGGGCAACATGGCAGGAACACGCTAGCGCGGGGGGCGTCCCGCCGAGCAAAGAGGAGAGAGAGAGAGAGGACTCTCCACAGTCCGTCCAGGAGCATAAGGTTGCCTCCCATTTGATTAATGACAGCACCTGGTATGGCAAACTGTCTCTCTCTCTTTCCCATCCCTCTCCCCATCTTGCACGAGTCCATCTCTCTCTTTATCTCCCGCTCTCCTCCTAGCTTCTGGACCAAAACAAACTACCGACATCTGCGCCTCGGCGTTTCCATCTCGGACATCCTCAAAAACAACCACCTCTCCGGGCAGTCAGTCCGATTTCGAAATATCATGGAATCCAATTTTTCCCCGGGCGTGGCGTGGCGTGGCGTGGCGTGGCGTGGTCACGCGGCCTGCAGCCGCGCCCGGGCCTCTATCGCGAGACAAAAGGGACGGCCCCGCAGGCGCAGCCATCATTTTCAGCTCAAAGTGAGACTGCAGCGAGACTGCGCTGTCATCAGGGGGAAAGCCCCGCCTGAAGGGCACTGTACTCGATGCAGCCATAAGCCCGCCGGGGCCCAGCGCAGCCAAGCGCCTTCCGCTTTCGAGCGTTCTCTTTTTCCTTTCATCAAGAAATACGCACAGCCCGGGATCGTTATGACGACGACGACTTGCGAATGCGAAGTATCCTGCCAGAATGTCCACGTGGAGAGGAAACGCCCAAGGCGAGGCAGGGCTGCGGCACACGATCCACACAATGAATTCATTGTGGACACCTTACGAATATCCTGCTTATCTATCGGTCGGCCCCCGCGCAACTTCCGGCGGCGGCCCGAGCCCAACGCGACGCGCTATGGTCGGTGACTCACCGGATCGAGTTGCGCCCTTCGCATCGCGTTAGCCCGGGGGGCACGCACCGGCCCACGGCGGGCCATCCTGGCGAAATTAACGAAGCGGCCCGAAATTGGATTACCGCCGGAGTCCGCGGCTGAGTCAGCCAAGAAACACCGTGGCTTACCCGCGCCCCCGCGAGTACACCGGAAACCCAAGTAAGGACGTCTCTCGTCAGGATTGTAGGTGTGTGAACGACATTCGTACGTATAAGAGTGCGAATTTGAAAGGAAAATTCACACCTTTACTCAATTGAAGAGTACGAATGAATGGGCACTCATGCACACACAGGTGTGTCACAGACTCACACTTGCCATTCCAGTGCACACCAGG